CGCGGTACTTGCGTGTTTCGTTCGAAACGCGGTTCAGGACGGAAATGACATGTTGATGCAGCTGCTTGGGCTCCAGATCCCCAAAAAGGCCGCGCTTCCGCCCGATCGTGGTGGATACGGAGACAGGTGCTTCTCGCCGGTTGCCCCATAATTCCGACAACGCCTCGAGTTGGCGAGCCGTGAAATGTGCAGAGGAACCGCCTTTCCCTCTCGACGCCGTCGGAACAGGGGCCGCGGGAATGTCAGGCACCGTCGTCGCCACCACCTCGCGGAGGTGTTCAAGAAACACCGCGGTCTTCTCTGGGCAGTGTCCCACCACATGCTTCAGTCGCTGCATGGCCTCCCGCGTGACAGCGACACCGTACGGAATGCACGTCTCCGAGGCGGTGAGTCGGACCTTTGGGGCGGCGGCGGCGGCGGCGGCGGCGGCGGCGGTAGCGGTCCCCTGCCCCGCCTCTTCCCCTTCTGCTGGCTCCGTTGCAGCTGCGTGGATGTCTGCCACCGCCCCACTCGATGACGGCGTCGCTGCCGACACCTCCGGCACTGGGGGGGAGGACTCCAGCTGCGGCTGCCGGGCGTGCGCGCCCCTACCCTCCTCCTCTTCGGCCGCCTGCGTGGCCCCACGCGCCCCTGCATCGGGGGGCGGCGGTGCGGCGGCCTCCGCCGGCGGGCTCACGCCGAAGCGCCCAAAGCGCTCACGCGCCGCGCACAATGCATCTACGAGAGCCTGCGGAATACTACGTCTATGCGCGGGCCTCCTTAGGCTCCCTGGCACGGAGCTGGTGCGTTTCGGCTTATCCACTCTGACCGCCCTCAGTGGCTCCATGCGCCCAGAGCAAGTACGCGCGAGAGACGGCGGGCAAGGCACGCAAACGGCCAAGACGGAAAGTAAATATACACGCAAAAACAGACGGGGTATAAAGCTGCCTGCTGGCGGTGAGCCCAGCCCTTCCTCCTGTTTGCTCCCTCTCTATCTGCGTCTATTTTGCTTCCGTTTCCTGCTCCCTGGCGGGTGCTGAACTACTTCTATTTTGTTTTTTTTCGTTTGTTGTTGCTCTTTTTTTCCTGCTCTTTAGCTTTTGGGTGTTTTGCTGCTCACTGAAGGCCCCGTAGAAAATCAAGCGGAAGCACAGCGAAGAGGAGGCGTCAACCACACACACACACACACACACACACGCACGCAGAGAGAGGACGGGGAGTGAGGGTGGGAATGCAGATGTCTTTCGCCGCCGCCTCCACGGAGAGAACCGGCGAAACTACAACAACAACAACAACCGCGTGAGAAAGACATCCTCTTCTGTACATAAAACACACAACTTCGTAGCCACGCACGCGGCTCCAGCCAGCCAGCCAGCCAGTCAGCCAGCCGCCGCCGCTCCTTCTTCTTCTGCCTGTTCCCGCCCCCTCCACACGGCAAGGCAGAGGTGGCGCGTCCCCATTGCCTCCGCCGCGGCCCACAAGAGACAGTCCCATCCATGCCTTCAAAAGCAGCGGCGCAGCACCGCGGAGGAGCCAAACTCGTCGTGGTCCGCCTTAGTCACCCAGAAGCCTTGAAAGGTCGGAAGTGACGCCAAAATGGAGCCCCCCACGAAGGCGGCATGACGACGCTCGGTGCGGGCAACTACATTGCAGTTGTGGGAGAGAGCGGCGTCAATTTCACTGCGTAGCCGTTCAGGGAAGCCACGCAGCAGGGAACAGCCTCCAGAGAGGTGAATCGCGTTTTCCAACATGGGTGCAAGGTCCTGGTCGCACTTACTTACGGCGTCCAGAATGAGTCTGTGGAGACCTTCGGGCTGTGTCGAGGTGCGGAGCTGCTCCATGTTGTCAATGAGGGTCTGATCACCGCCGAGGAGGTCGCTTGTGAGGAGCGCAGGGTCAAGCAGCATCTCCGCTGGCACAAAACGGTTTGAGTCAAGACTGATGATGGTGCCATCCGGCAGCTGGTACTGTACTGCACGCAGACCTGCACCACCACTACTGTTGCTGCCTCGATAGCCATCCGCGTTGGGTGCTGCCTCCTCCTCCCGCGCCTTTCTAAACAGCGCGGCACTCGGGCTGCACTCACAGTACTTTTCCTTTACGTATGCCCAAACGTCCTTGCGGTGGCTTGGGTGCACCATCGACGGCAGCTCGGGCCCTGTAGACATCATGTAACGCGTGCAGAAGTCTCCAGCGAAGTTGAGCGCGTGCGTGGCATGAAACAAGGGGTAGCCCTGAAAGACAGGAACGACATGGCACGCGTTGTGGCCCATCTCTACGGACACGCCGGAGCAGACACCGGCAGCGTACAGCGCAAGCACAGGGCTCAAGGAGAAGTGAATAGAATTCACCCCGTGTTTTTCCATGAGAATTTCCGCCATCTTTTGCCTTTGCTGACGCGGGACCAGCATCTTCTCCGTCAGCAGTAGCGGGGTGTTCACCTCCTTGGAGCTCAGCTGCAGCAGGTCATCGAGGTAGCAAAGCAGCTGCTCCATGGCCTCCCAGTCCACCTCGCCACCATCTATGACGCGCGACACATCCGTCGTGGCGCGACGGTCGTAGGCCTTCTTCAGGCACAGTGCAGCGGTCCCTTTTTCGTCCCCCTTCACGACGCACGTGGGCGCGTCAATGCGGGGCGCATCATCCCCCGCGAAGCCGATCCGCGTGGTCCAGCTGCCGACGTCCACAATCGCCGCCTGGCGGTGCACGGCGGCCACCTCGTCGGGGAGGGGGATGCTGGCAAGTATCTTCGCCGTCCCCTCCGCAATCCGCATCTTTGCCGAAAACAGCAGCAAACGGGCTGGCGACGCAGACGCAGGCGTGCGTGTGTGTGTTCGAGTTCCAGCAACGTTCACCGCACGCCAGCGCGGGACACTCACAACAGCAGCAGCCCTGCGGGACGATTTCTACTCCTGTTACCCTGCAGAGAGCAGCAAGAAAAAAAAATAATAACAATAAATAAATGTGGCCGAGCCACAGAGGCAGAAGTAAATTCTAAAGGAGAAATCGACCACAACAAGAACGACACCAACGCAGACGCAGAAAAGCGAGAGACGGAGGAAATGTTTGTATTTACATCTACACGCACACACACACGCACGTACGCATTCATGTATCCAAGGCCATCGTCCTCTACTCCCCTTCCTCTTTCCTCCGCCCGCAGAACCCCACACACTTCCGCAGTGAAGTGCCGCACGATACATGTCGGCCCAGTTTCGCCTCGGTTTGCTGCCTCTTTCCTGCTGCGGCGCACCCGCCCTCCGGGTTTCATGTTGCGCCATGGCAAAACCGGCAAGAACGAGACAAACAAAACCCCCAACGCACATTATCGGTGGCGCAGCGTGTTGGCGGCAATCCGCTCGTCCCTTGAAAAGGGGCGGAAGTCTCTCTTTGTGACACTCAAGTAGTCCCGCTCTAGCGGCGGCAACGGCTCTACGTACGGGTGCACGCGCTGCATGTGCGAGAAGTTGTAACTCTTCGACGACACGCCCAACGCGGTGTTTAGTGCGTCCTGCACAAACAGTGGCTTCGTGATGGCGAGTGGGTCGACACCGTCCGGGCCCCAGTCGCGGCGCGTTTCATTCATCGTTGGCCGCGTCGCGACGTCGGCGTCCCACTCGCGCAGCATGTAGAGCTCAAACTGCTCATCCAGCGGGAACTCCACACTGACGGCGGCAAAAAAAGCAAGAAACTCCTCAAGGCTCACCGTGCCGGCATCGTACGGCTCGGCGGCGGCGGAATCGGCCGCGTCAGCGCCCTGCGCGTCCCTCGCGGCGCGGGGCGGGGAGGCAAACGTGACGCTGAGGTCCCCGCGGGTCCCACTGAGGGCGTAGCGCTCCTGTAGCTCACCGCGGGAGACTTCCCCCCGCTCATTCTTTGGCAGCACCTCCCAGGCGCGCAGGACGGCCTTGTGGCGTCGGAGGTTCAACCCGGTGAAGTGGCGCACGAAGCGGCTGGAGGTGATGTAGCCGTCCCCGTCGTCGTCGAAGGCGGTGCACAAGTAGTCCGCCTCCCCGTCGCGAAACCGCATGCCAAAATCCCGCAGGAGGTCAATGAAGAGCTTATGCGTGACGCCCTTCTCCCCGTGCAGCTTCTGCTCGTCCTCCAGCTCGCGAAACTGGCGAAGGGCCTCGACGACGGCCTTTGGGCCGCCGCCGCCACGCACTGCGGCCTTCACGCGCGCAAACACGCTGTCCTCGCGGGGGTTGTTCGTGTCGCTCCACTGCATCGCCGCCACCGCGCCACAACAGGAGCAACTAGCAGACCGTGAGGGGGCGGCGTCTCCACGCGAAGGCGGTCGCAGCAAAAGAAGCAGGCAACCAAGCAAGTAAAAGCAAAAAAAAAACGAAATGGCCTTCTAAAGAGTTCCACCGCGGAACTACAAAACAAAAAAAAAGAGAGAGACAATAACGGCAAAAGCAGGCGGAGTGAGGCACGCAAGAGAGGCATGGACCGCAGCACCGCGAACACGCGTCGTTGCCCGCAGTCATATAACTAAATAATATATATATATAAAAACAAATACAATGCGTATCTTCCGAACACCGACGGTCGCCCTCTGACGGGGGCGTTTCTCTCCGCCGCCGCAGCTGCGCGAATACTTCAGTGCCGTAAAAACCCGAAAAACCGCGCGAGACACACCGCAAAAAAGAAAAGAATACTTAAAAAAAAAAAAACGAGCATCTTGATGCTCGAGCCAGCAAGGCCAAATGTGAAGAAGAAACGACTGCTTGATCAGCAAAAAAAAAAAAGACGTCTTAAAAGATGCTCTCCAACTTTTTGCCAAAGGGGGCGTGGTAGTCGCACCACCGCCTCTGGTACCGCGCCGCGCGTGGGTCCGTCAGAAGGTTTATTGACGCACCGGTGGCAGCCGCGCTGTTGTTGTGCCAAAAGGCGACAAACTCCGCGATGAGGGCGCAGAGCGAGGCGGCAGTCTCCGCTTCGCCGTCGCCCAGAAATGCGGCGTACTCGTCCTGCTCATGCAAGGCAGGGTCATGGGCGGCGCAGCGTTCCCCGCACGCGAGCACGTCGTCCAACTCCTCCTCCGCCCCCCAGGGCCGCACACCGGGGAAAAACGGCAACACCAGCGCCCCGCGGCCGCTGAAAAACTCCTCCGCGAGGAACGAGGCACAGCTGTCGTCCACCAGCAGCGAGGTGGCGGGGAAGGCGGTCACCGCCAACGGCTTCTTCCGACCCTCCGGGCCGCAGCAGTGTGTGCTGCCAAACGCAAATGCCAAAGGCACAGGCATCAACGGCCCCAGCACTTGAGTCGCAATGGCTTTTGCGTAGGAGGGTGTATTGCGCGTAAACACGCCCACCTGAACTGCCACGCGTGTGGTGCTGAGCTCCCTGCCCACGCAACGCAGGAATTCGCCCAAGTGAGGGCGAACTGTAAGGATGCAGTCCCGCACGTGACGCCCCCGCTCCGCGTCGTAGTAAGCCAAGCTGTGCTGCGAGGCAAGAACACCGCCAACGGCTGTAAAGGGGTAGCTGGCGGAAAAGCGGCGACAGCCGGAGAGCAAAGTGTTGTCAATGTCAAGTATGACACACACAGGGACTTTGCGGCCGAGGTGGCTCATTCCGCCTCGCGTCTCCGCAGCAGTCCCAGCCGCCTTTCCTGGAAGGAAGCATGTCGAGTGTTGCAAGGGAGGGAGTGAGGGGGAGGGGGCAAAACAAAAGCAGCAGAGACTATATATATATATATATAGGTGGGGGGCACAGTGCGGCGGCAACGCACCCGTGGCAGCAAGGAGAGGCCCCCACCCACCTCCACCCCCCACACGCACACACACAACAGTAACAAGAACAATATCAAAGAAGACATGTGGAAGAGGGCATCGTCGTGCAGCATTCAGAAGCTCGTCTTCGTGACATTCCACCTCAGCGTGCATTCACCGTTCCACATCGGTCAGTTCCTCAAAGTCGTCTGAGTAGTACGCCTCCACGACTTCTTCCTCGCCCTTATCCGTGCTATTTTGCGGGTGTTGCGTCTCCGCCTCCGACAACCATGGCGGCACGCCCCGCCCTCTTGTTGAGGACCCACAAGGCTCCAGCTGCAGAGAGTCTAGGGCAGCCATGAGCGCTTCCCTTGCGCTAATCTCCGCTTCATTTAAAGTCAACGGGCATGGTTCCATGTGCCGCGCCGCCGCGTGCCTCTCTTTCCCCGCCCTATTACTTTTTTCGCCTCTGCCTCCCTCCCCATTCCTTCGGCGTCGTGACCGCCGCCCTTTGTGTGGCACCTGCTTCTGTAGCGGCGGCTCCTCCGCCTGCATGATGCGCTCCTCCATCTCGCTGCTGAATAGGGGGACGCCGCCGGGATCCACGTCGCGCGGGCTGGAGCCTGCGGGGGCCGTCGTCGTCGTCGACGACTCTGCCACCGGCGGGCCATGCTTGAGCGTGCGGAAGAGCTCCTGCACGTCGCAGCTGAGCTCGTCGAACACGGGCGGCATGACGCCGCCAATCAGCGCACGAACCTCGCCAAGCAGGGCGTCCCGGCGCTGCTTCTCCTGTCGGAGCGCCGCCACACGCCGCTCCTGCTCTTCAATCCCGCGCCGCAGTTGTTCCAACTCCATGCCGCAGGCTAGCAGAAAATAAAAAAAAAGAAAAGGTTGGCAGATCCTTTGCACGGGGCAATGAGCAAAAATACATGTGGACTTATTGCAAGGGAGCAGCCTCTCTCTCTCTCTCTCACACACACACACGCACACGCACACGCACATGGCGGCATCGCGGAAAGAGACATATGTGTCCACGTGTGCGTCAAGGAGAAGGAAACACTCCCCCCCGACGATTAAAAAATAAATAAACAAGTAAAAAAACACACACACGCACGTAAAAGCCAACATAATAGGTGATATTGCGTGGAATAATAAATGTGGGACCAACACGGCCTTCAAGAGTCGCCTCCACACACACCTATACACACACCCTAGCCCCTCCGCTGCCACTCTATGTGGCCCTCACCCCTTCTTTGCGTGGGTGTGCGTCTTAACACGATGTCTTTTTGACACAACTACCTCCCTTTTCCATCCGCACCCAACGGTGCCTCCTCTCGTCTCCACGTGTATCCGCCATGCCCCCCACCCACCCGCCCCAACAATAACCACAAGAGCACAGAAAAGAGCGAACAAAAGCAAAACAAACAACAAAAAATTTCGTGTCATTTCGCCATGAATAGCAGATATTGTAGAAGCGGCCGGCACCGCACGTGGTGACCCTCTCTAAAAACCAACAGCATCTCCTCCGCCGTCGCGCAACGCTCAACCAATGGGGCACGGTACACAAAAAGGCTTGCCGCCAGCAACGGCAACAGCCACAGGGCACAAGGGGCAGAGGAGGAGGCTTCCTCCTTTTCCTCTTCTCCGTCCTCTGCCGCCGCCTCCTCCTCCTTCGTCTCATCCTCCATCCCATGCTCCTCACTCGCGTGAATAGACACAGACAGGGGCGTACGCTCAGCAAACATTTCTTCGACGTGGTACGAGAGAATAAGGTCCCAGAAACTCAAGAGCTCCGCCGGCTCAAGCACCTCCACAAAAGCCGTGAGCATCCACTGCAGAGCCAAACGCAACGGTGGGAGGCCAAGCGCACGGGTGGCGTGGAGGCAGGCTGGGGCGGCAAAGCGTGCCACCAGCGCCTCGAAAATCCAACAGCACTGCGCCAGCTCAGGTGTGGGGCCTTGGAGCCGAAACCACAGTTGCCCAAATAGCGAGGAGAGGAGGTCGTACTGCTCTACGGTGTCGCCGGTAATGTAACACACAGGTGCGACGAGAAGTGAGCAGGAGCGCAGAGGAAAGAATCCAGAGGGCGGTGCCTTGCGCTGCCGCGGCTCAGGCCCTCCCCCGGCATTCTCCAAAAAGACTAAATAAGAGTCCAACTGTGCGGACGGGCGGCCCAACTGTCGCACGGTGTGTTTCATGTGCATTTCTGGTAGGCCCCTGTCCATGAGGAGGGAAAAGACCAACATCTCTGTCTCTTCCGCGAAAATGAAATATTTATCGCTATTACCCACAAATTGGGCATTATCCACTTTTATGATAGCCTGAATCACCTTAGCCGTCTCCTCCTGCTCCCGTGTGGCGTAACTATGACACATGCGCCGTCGAATCTTGTCACGACTGTGTTTGGTGGCAAAGGTCAGGCATCTTTCCACGCCATCGCAATGACGATTCGCTTGCAGTTCCCCACGACCTCCAAAAAGTGAATTCCCATCCGTAACTACAATAGGAAGCTGCAACGCACGCGCGTACAACAAACGGCGCAAGGAGTGACTTACTCTACCACGCAGGGCTTTGGCCACCGCTTCTGGAGTATTACCATGCTGCAAAAAAATATCAAGTTTCTCTAGAGCATCAGACGCTGATGATTCGGTGTGAGTGAAGAACTTTGGACAGCCGTTTGAGGGATGAAGCGCGGCAAAGTACCGGCGAAGCACCGTCAGACTTGGGGCAAGCTGCTCATGCTGGGCCAGTATTTCCTGTACGGGCGCGCGAAACACCGTCAACAACCCAAAGGAGTCAATGCTATCGTAGCAGAGCGAGGGATCACCGCCAAAGACGCGGGCGGTCAGGAACTCCTCCGTGGCCGCGCTGTTGAGCCCGGTTACTAAAACGTTGTAAAGCTGAGCCACCGACCACTCCACCTCCTCGTTCTCATCACCGGCGTTCCTGTCTGGCAGTGCCCCGCTGACTGAGCGTCGCACCTCTCGTTTTAGTGCATTTACGCGCGTGGATAACACCGCTCGCCACTGTTTCCGCGACTCGGCAAGGAGAGTGTGCAGCAGCATACACAGCGGCCGCGAGAGCTCGCTCGCTTGCCGCGCAGGACCGTCACCGCCATTCGGACTCTGATGGGACAACTCCCGCTCCCGACGCTCCAAGAGACCGTGGCGCCTGGAGTCCCAGTCCGAGTTTTGCTTGCTAACCACCACCGAAAGAGAATCTTGCATTGGCTCAGGACAGCAAGGTGGCATTTGCTCCTCCCCCCAGGCGTTGCCCTTGCTCACGGAGGTGCTGGTTCCGTTCGCGATGAGCACACCGTCCAACTTTAGGCTCGTCACCGTTGCATTCACCTCCTGCTGTGGGAAATGCGAGTTGGAGTTGGTTTCCGGCGCAGGCCTCTGCGTGGGAGTTCCCCCTTGCTTCTCTGCACCCGCCGAGTCCAACCAGCGGGGCAGCGTAGCTCTCAGCGTGGCTGAGGGCACCTCTCGCGGCTTCCCTCGCTGCGGCAGGCGAACCTCCGGCACGGGCGTCGCCCTCCCTCCGTAGGGCCTCGCCCACGACATGCTAGTAACGCAACCCAGAGATAGGTCCCACGGATGCAAAGAAGAAAAATTAAGAAAAAAAAGCATAAGTAAAGGGAGCAGGAGATGTCAGGTGTTGGCTGTGTAAATAGCGAGCATTGGAAAGGGAGGGGAAAATGGAGCGCGGCGGACAGACAAAGAAACCTACAGAAACAACAATAACAGCCCAAAGAGACAACCAAATAAACGCCGCGCGAGGCCCCACAGAGGTTTCGGCTGCTGTGGCTGTGCCCCTCCCACCCTCCGCTGTCCATCCATCGACGGCGGTGCACGCTTCTCGCTTTCGTGTGCGACGATTTTCTTGTGCCGCCCATCCGCACCTCAGTCCCTTCATTCAACCCCTTGATTCATACTGTACCAGCGACGGGGCTGACTCGGCCTCAGCTCCACCACAAGACTGTACCGCACCTTCTCACCCCCTTGAGCCCAATCCGACCGCACACGGTGCAGCACAGGCGAAAGGGCGCCGTTTGACAGGACGCCGGCCATATTGCTGCAGAGGACAAGCGTGTCGTCTCCGGCGGCAAGGGGAGTTGGGGCCTGCCATCCGGGAAGCGCATCAATCAGGCTTTCTACACCCATCTCATCGTATCGGTAATCGCCCGGACGCCCCGGTCGCGATGGCAACTTTCCCTGCAGATTCACCTCCAGCCCTGGCGCAGACGCCCGAAGGAGGGCTGTGCAGAGGCCGGGGTCGTAGTGCGGGCGGCAGCCGGCGCCAGGGCTGTAGCGCCAGATGCGGAAGACGGAACGCCGTCCAACGTCGCTCAAGAACTCCCTGCGAACCACTTCCGGGATGGAGGCGTGCAGCAACGTACGATGCGCAAACTCCATTGCGGCTGCCTCGAGACCGCGACAGACGTGCAGCAGCGGCGGCGGAACGCCTCGCCGTGCCTCTTCCGCGCTCCACAGGCGGTGAAGCGTCGCGGACAACTCCACCTTGGGCGGCGACGAAGTCAGCGCCTGCCCTCGGTGGCTCACGTGAAAGAGGGGGGCCACGCGCTCAAAGAGCCTAGACTCCTCCAGTGCGGCATAGGCGGCTGACGCCTCCTGGCGCGAAAAGAGCGCACAGAAAGCCGTTGACGGGGCCGTGCCTCCTCCGGTGTGTGGAAGATTGTAAGTAAGTGAAACAAAAAAAAAAAACGTGCAAATGCGGCGGCTGCTCGCTCCTTCTGTTTACCTCCGCCACATCCCAACCTCGCAGCTCAGGCGCCAGAGGTCCCAGCACAGGCAGCCACGCAAAGAAAAAAAAAAAAGGCAGATTAAAAAAAAAAGTGTAAGCGGGCCCAACAAGATGGCGCAATAATTCATAGAAAGACACGCGCAGAGACGAGGTGCACCGGAAATGCCTCAGACAATGATGGGGCAAAGCGGAGTGAGTGAGTCCGTGGGAAAGGCAACGTTGTTGTTGTCGTTTTTTTTTAATTGCTGCTTCTTTTTTCGCCAAGCTCCTGCCACATGCACACACACACACAAAGCGTTTCGCTGCGCCACCGCGCAAAACAACAACGACAATAAAAAAAACAGAACGGGATTGGTGGAAAGGGTTGATCCAGAGACAACACGCACACGTCGTAAAGAGCAAGTTTAGTCAAAAACGGAGTGAAACATGTTGTTCTGCCGGCAAATATACGGCCCATACTCCTCGTACTGCGCCTTCGTCTTGGCCAGGGCGGCGAACTCCGGACTCGAGCCCAGCATGCTCCCGCCGTACCACACCGCGTACCGCTGCCGCTCGTGTGACACAACGTTCACATCGTACGTGATGTGGCAATTCGGGTCTCTGGACGCCGCCATGTTCTTCCTCGCTCGTCGGTCAACAATGACGCGCAGGTCCTTCTGCAGCCGTTTGTCGAACTTTGGAAACATGGTGTTGCCGCCCGACAGCACAATGTTGCGGTAGAGCGGGCGGCGGCAGTCAATGGGGCACGACCACACCGCCTTGTCGACAACCTCCGGCAGCGGCGTTGTCCACTCGCTGCTAAAGATCTCGGGGTGGAAAAACAACTCGGGGCCCAAGAACTTTTCGTAGCCGACATCTACTGTGTACGGCTGCCCTGTCTTGCTGTTCACGTCGCGGTGCGTCGTGATGTACTTGGGGAGATCCCTGTCGTATGTGTCGAACTCCCTTGCGATGTCGCGGGCGATGTAGCAGTGCGCCTCCTTGATGCGCTGGGCCAGCAGCAACGCGTCGTCGGGTGGCACGGGCTCGCCGCGCTCACGCAGTCGCTCGAGGACAAAGTTTGTGATGTCACGCCCCGCCAGCGGGATGTGATGAATCGCTTGGTTCAGCACAAAGCCATCCACGATAGGTATGACGTGTGTGACGCCGGCGCCGGAGTCAATCACAAGGCCGGTGTCTTTGCCGGCAACGCCAAGCTCCTGCGCCTTCCCAGAGGTCCACGAGGCCCGTAGCGCGAGGGTGCCCTGCACGGCGATGTGCAGCTGCTTCACACCGAAGGTTTCAAACATCACCTCTGCCGTGTACTCACGGTTCTCGGGAGGGTTTGCCGGTGGCTCGGTGAGGATGAAGCCGTGCTCCTCCGGCTCCACGCGGAGGTACTTGTAGATGCAGTGCTGCCAGATACGCTCCATCTTATCCCAGTCCTCCACAATGCCGTGTTTGATGGGGTACGATAAGTTGCAGGAGCCCGCACACGCGGCGGCCTCGTCGCCGATGCAAAAGTCAAGATCCTCAAAGACGTCGCTCGAGCGACGCCGCCCCGCGGCACCGTCGGCGTAGAGGGAGGGGAAGATGTACGTCGGCTCCTCGTTGCCGGCGTAGCCCATCTTGGTGTAGCCGGTCCCGTTGTCGATGACCACCACGGGGTACGACATCGGCCCGGTGCGTCGTCTCCGTCGGGGGGTCTGCGCGCGCGCGTGCGCGTGGGCGGTGCTGCGACAGACAACTCGCTCCCACTCGCGCACACAACAACACCGAAAGAATAATAATAAAATAAATACAAAAAAGAAAATGAAAAAAAAAACACAACAAAAAAATACGTCCAGGCAAAGAAGCGCAAGACGCTCACGACGTAAAAGTGGGGGGCGCAGGAAGGAAGGAAGGAAGGACGCAAGAGGAAGGAATCACACACGCACGACGTCCCGTGCCTCAGCCAGACGGTTCTGCCCCCTCGTGTTCCCAGGCGTAGTCCATGATCTTCACACTGGAATTGGTGAGGTGCCGAATGCGGCAGATGACCTCAAAGGCGCCACGCTTCATCTGGTGCGCAAGGTCCTCGACCGCCTCAATTTTATCGCCACCGGTGAGTATGCGATACAGGTGAACTAATATCAGCTCGTCCTCCTCCGCGGTGAAGGGTCGATCTGTGCGAAAGGGACGACCGGCCTTGTGGTAGTCTGCGTTGCCGCAAAAGGCACAACGACCGTCAACGCACCGTGTGCTGCCTATCCCCACGCAGGTGCCTCCCACGCTCGCCACACCCTCAATCAGGGCAATGTTGTCGTGGCTGCGCCACGGAAATGCATCTGCCCGGAGAGAATCAAAAGAAACACCGCCACCACCATCGGCTCGGTGCAGGACGCGGCGTTCGTAGTCAGCCTCTGTGTCTCGCAGACCCACCGGCAGTGGCGCCCGCGCCGGGTCGAGTGGCCAGTTTTCCTCCTGCAGACTGTGCAAAACGATGTCGGCGTAGGCCTGCTGCGAGCGGTCAAACAATGAAAAACTGGCGTCGCGGGTGTATGTCAGTGCCCAGAGAGACACACGCGGCGAAAGTGGGGTGAGTTCGACACTGCGAGTCACAAGCCCCTGATCGTGGGCGACCAGTACAATACGAAAATCAAGCGCCGGATTACGTGCCGCCAGGGCCGCCTCCACGTCCCGGACAAGTCGTATTTCCTCCATGGGGTCGCGTGCGGAGATGCTGCGAAAGAAGGTCACCGGCGTCGCGGGTGTGTCGATTAACGCGTCCCAGCGTTGCATCTTGCGGGTGAACTGCGCCTGAATCGTCGGGTCGTTGAGGTCAAAGTGGGCAAAGGCGGTGTGCTGGCCGCGGTAGAGCACCCAGATGCCGACGCACTCCGGGCGGTAGGGCGGCGGGCCTGGCGGGTAGAAGCCGTGGGCGAAGCCGTCGCGGATGAAGTGCAGGACGCCATCCAGCGTGCAGCGACTGAAGTCAAACGGGTACGCCTCGGTGCGCAGACCCAACTTGCCCAAAATAAGCGCGGGACCGCACCACCCGCCCATGGAGACGTACTTCCGCGGCATCCGCACCCCGGCGAAGCTGACATCCCGCAAGAGGGCGGAGGAACGCAGCATCGCACTATGCGGCGCGCTGTCTCTCGCTCGCCCTCCCCCTCCTTTTTTTTTCTTTTTGTTTCCCCAGCGTCTACTCCGCCCCACCTCCCTCTGCGCGCCCCCAATAAAGGA